AGGTTAAAAAAAAAAAAAAAAAAAACTTGTTAGCGATGTGTAATAAGTACACGAGTATTTTCGTTGTTAAGTAAGACGCTTTTTCAGAATTATATCTACTCGCGGATGCGACGATGCTATTCCACGTAGGTTATACACGCGTTATAATAGTAGACTACTCAGTTGTAATCGACACGCCTTCGAGTTTGCGTCTCTCTGACGGGGGATGGATCCGTGGATGTTATCCCTTTCGAAACGAGCTTTGTTTCCCTCTCCCCTTCCCCTTTTATCGCATTTCCACGTGCTGCTCCTACCTGCTACGCCTTGATAGTTGGAAACTTTCAGAGAAGGGGTTGAAGGTTTGAAGATGTAAGAGAGAAAGAGAGAGAAAGAGACTGTTGCTTGTTGAAATAATTGAAGAGAGGTCGATAAATTATTTGGAAATATTATTGCGTATTTTGAAATTATTATTTGTGTATTAAAGAAATAGTTTGGAGAAGCGTTATTAAATCAATTGTGTATCTTTTGTGAGTTAAAAATTGGTGGAATTAAATCTTTAATAATTTTTTTCTTTTTTTTTTCTTTTGCTAATAAATTATAGAAATTTCTTATAAAAATTTTATATTTTAAACTTTAAACTCGTGAAAATTCTGTGTTAATTTTCTTCCTATAATAAAATTCAGTTCAACGTATTTCAAATTTATCGTTTTCAAGTTTCATCATGTTACCTATGAAGATACAAAATTTTATTATGCGATCTTTTATTCCAACTTGTGCAAAAAGCACGAAAGCTCGACACATTTTTATATACACGATACATTCATCATTTCAATTCGATCATTTATAAATCAATCTCGTTTCACGCGTTCCCACGATCATTCCATTCCAATTTCCTCCACACTCCCAATTCCATTCCATTCGTTCCACTCAAGATTACAAGAAAGAGAAAAGATTCTAAAATTCGCTTCCTATTTTTGCTACTCGACTTTTTTACAATGGCAAGAAAAAAAACATTCTCTATTTCATTCGACGAAAAACTCCACTCGTTATAAAAAAAAAAAAGAAAAAGAAATCGAAATGATTCTCGCGTCGGAGAAGATGTGCTCGAAGGCGTGGCACTTCGTGGTTGAACGACAAACAAAATAAAAGCGGGCAAGCGAAAGAGAGAAAAAAAAAAAGAAAACGAAGAGAGAGAGAGAGAGAGAGAAGAAGGTCGAAAATAACGAAATAAAAAAATCGTCGTGCTCCAGTGTTGTCTAAATAAGCTTCTCTAAGGGTGAAAAGAAACCCCCCTTTTTCCGCGAAAAAGACTGTTCACGCGAAACGAGTGAGAATTAGGACAGTAATGGAGGTGGACAGGTAAATAGCGGAGAAAAGCGTGGAACGTGGTCGAATAAGAAAAAGAGGAGCGAGCGAGGAGAGAAGAGAGAGACGAAGAATAAGAAGAAGAAGAAGAAGAAGATACCTGCGGCTCTAAACTCTAATAAATATACTTGTTAACTTGCTATCCATAAGTTTATATTGTATCTCTATCGTGACAGAAATTTACGAACGTATTGTACGTGATAATAATATTTATACGGGCTGTTACCACCAACTGTCTCCAATCTTCCATTCCTCCGTGCGACACCGGGCGAACGAGACGGATGGGCAGATGAGGCGCAGGCGAGCGTGCAAAACGTGGCGGGAAGAGAGACGGTGAAGGGGGGGAAGATCGAGAGGAAGAAGCGGTTAATAGAAAAACTTGGAGATTTCGAAAATTTCGAAGACTATCAAATCGAAATCCTCCGCTCCGTGATGGTTCGAACAGAAGATGAATAGAAGAGAGTCGAATAATAAAAGATAAATAACAGAAGCTGGATAAGAGAAAAAGAGACATAAGGAGGAACAAGAATAAAGAAGAGAGACCATTGGTAAGAGTTTAAAAAGAGGAGGAAAAAAAATCGTTCCTCCAACTTTTGATTAAAGAAAGCATCATCCGTAGCTTCTATAAGAAGGAAATTAAAGAATGGATGTAATGACTGTTTAGAGAAAAGACGAAAAGAGGAAAAAGGAGATTTGAAGAAAGTTCGATGCGTCGGGATGAAGAATTTTCAATCTGCGAACAACGATGGAGGAAGAAACGAAGATAGCAAGGTTTTAGAAGGTTTTAATATACGAGTCAACGGTCCTTGTTGGAAGAAACGATGTTGAAGGAAGGAAACAGCGAGGATATCTCTCTTCCCTTTTTCTGCCTAACTCGAAGGGAAGAGTCGCGTCCTCTTCCTCTCGGATCCCCGATCAACGCTCGATTCTCCGTTCCATCGGAGCTTTTCTTTATTATATTTAAGTAAAAGACGAAAAGAGACTGATTTGTGTACAGGGCAAAGCATTGTGCGTGCGTGGCCATGGAAAACGAGGGGGGAAGAATCGTCGATCCTCGTCTCTTTTATTCACTTGTCACACAATTCCTTGTCACATGGTTTTTAACCAGGGAGAGTGAGAA